TCAGCATAAGCACTAGAATGAAGACAAGTGATATCATAAACACATTTATAGACACCGAAACAAAGCATCAATTGCATCTGTCAATAAAAAAAAAATTGGAATTTCTTTTAATTATAATAAAAAAAACTGAAGTCATAAAAAACAGTAGAAAAAATAACCTGTATACTATCGTTAACTTGCCGATTCAAAAAAATAGCGGATCTCGTTGTTCCTCTGTTTAACAAAAAGCCAGGCCTAGAATGAACATAAATTGAAAATCTGTTCTCTTCTCCCTGCAAAAATAAAAAATTAAAAAAAAAATACTTAATGATCAGGACCATAATTCAAAATAGAGGCATCATAACTTCTCTAATATTCAATCTATAAAAATATTTAGTAAGTATTTCGAGAAAAATGCAGCTAAAACGAAAATATAACAAACTTATCCATAAATGCTAAAATTGGAAACATAGTAAAGCACACTACAAAGCATCCGTATTAAGCAGGATTTTATTAAATTCATGAATAATTAAAAGCATTAAATTGAAGTACCTTGAAAAAAGCATCCCAAATCATATCGAGAGGAAGCCGATTCCTGGCGATGAAAAGGAAGGCGATCTTCGGGTTGCCGGTGAAACGATGTCGTAAAGAAGCCAACGAGACAATCCGAGAGTACTGCGTCTCCACTAACACTAAACTCGCCATACAAAGCGACACTAAAAGCACCGCCAAAACCTTCCTCTTCCATCTAATTTGCGATTTCTGCTGTACCGGTTTTCGCTTCATCGCACTCATTATTTCTTCCTTTACTTATTTATTTATCTTTCGTTTCTCTCACTTCAACAACAACGACAACACCGTCGCCGCCATTTTTTACTTACTCCTCTCGCTCTTCCGTGCGTGAGAGCTTCAAAATCAGTTGAATTTTGTTGAGAATTTGAAAGGGAAAAAGGAAACGAATTAGTACTTTGTTTGTTTGGAGAGAGAGTGGAAAGGAAACTAATGTGGGAAAATGTGATGAGTGATGATGAAAGCTAGGGTGGCTTTTGAAGAAAGTGAAGGAACTTCGACCTCCGATGCGGGAGTCGTAAAGGGAAGACAGTTCTTTTACTAAAGCTTGCGTGAGATGTAGGAGATCTGATCCCTTTTCAACACAGATCAACTAGCCTTCATTTTCTTCCTTTTCAGGACAATAATTAAAAAACAATATTTAGTTAATAAAATTATTGTTCGTACAATAGGCTTAACGTGTTATAATTGGCATGTTAATAAATGTAATTTTTTTGATAAAAAATATTAATTCTAGTTTTATATAAATTAAAAAATTATATCATGAATTTTTTCACCAAATCATTTTACTTAATATTTCATTTACATTGTTGCACTATACCTTATGTTAAGGGATGAACGTAAAATTTTATATTATGGAGTGAATTTTTAAAATTTTATAAAAATATAAATTTATAAAATTAAAGGACGAAAATAGGTTATTAATAAAACATATAAAAAATAGACTTAAGGGTCACATTTGTCCATGTAGTAGATCTAATTTATAATTTTTGTCCCTATTATATTTTCGTATCAATTTAGCCCTCAAAATTATTTAATTGCATCATTCTATACCCTATCTCTAACTTAAAACCCTAAATTGATAACTCTAAACTTTAAACCATAACCTCGTAACCTTTAAACTATAAACCCTAAACCTTAAACTATAAACCCTAAACCTTAAACTCTGACTTAAAACTCTTGATTTAAGGTTTTAAGTTAGGGGTAGAGTATAAAATAATACAATTAAATAATTTCGAAAGCTAGATTGATGCGAAAATACGATAGAGGTGAAAATTAGGTCTACTATAGAGACAAATGTGACCCTTTTGCCAAAAAAAAATCTAAAATATATAATAATTTAAATTTTTAAAAATAACAATTAACTTTTGATACTCCTCTTGGCGTATCTCTATTTATGTGCTATTGCTTAATCATTTTCCTTTTATAAGAGGAGCAATGATTATAACTAAAATGAGTTGCTTTAGAGGTTAAAGAAAACAAACATGAAATGACATTGATTATAACTTTGTGTTTAGCTGTGATGAGAAATAAATTAATTGAGAGCACGAGGTGCTAACTAACTGGTTGTTAAAGACTTATTTGGTGAGTCCCCTTGATGAATAGAAAAGGGTTTATTAACCCTAAAGAAATGCAACCACTAAAAGTGGGGTATCGGCTAAGTAAAGCCTTCCTCACTAAAATCATTAGGGGGTCAATGCCAAAACAGTGTGATTTATCGACCTCCTTGCTTTCAACAACCATGAAAGAGAACCACCATTTTGTCTTTCTGAATCATCATCTTTTGCACCTCTTTTAGAAGACTTTTTATAATTTCAACGGACAAAATGATTGTCATATTGTTTTTTGGGAAATAATTTTTTTAAATTTGTTCTTTTAAATAGAATGGTTTTTACAATGTTGTAAAAATATCATATGGATCACCTAATATTTTCATAAAGACGTAGAAAAGACATGACATCTTCTTTCAAGATGTATGCATGCTCACAAGTTAACAAATGTTGAAGTTCAAACGGTGCATTCTTAAAGAAACCGTCTAATCCCGAAGTCTTTCAATAGTCGTTAGATAATTTAGACGTCTTTTATAATGTATTGTAACAATAAGCTTAGATGAGAAAATAATTTTTCCAACCCCTCATATGAGTAAATCTTTTTTTCAATTACATTGTATGAGAAAATTTATCATTTCAAATTAATTTTTTTATCCAAAACTCGACTTGTATTAAAGGACTTATTAAACTTCAAAGAGACGAAGATAGGCCCATTTAATAGTTGGGCTCAAGTGTCCTTTAACCCAAAATATTGGAATTTGATGCAACGTCGTTGGCTCCTTCTTTCTCATACCGAAAGCGTCCACCAAAGTATCGTGAGTTTCGCTGCAGCCTCCAGCAATGTCTATCGAATAATTTTGAATTCTCGTTTCGTCAAGAATTATATAATCTTTTTTTCAATTAAGTCCTTTAAATTACAGTTCTTCAGTTGATGAGACTGCAGGGAAATCTACATGGACATCCTTCAAATCCCCAAAACTTCAAAGAGACCATTCTAAAATCAGAAAATTTTCAGCGAAGTGTAGTTCGAGCTTCAAAAATGGAGGGCTCGAACAGTTCCCGAATGGGGTTAGCAAAAATCGTGAATCCAATCTCGTGCTAAGTAAGCTTGAGCCGTGTAGACGGAGATGCCGATGAGGGTGCAGCTTGTGCCGGAACAAGCAAATGCAGCTCTATGAACTCATGGATGTAATTAAAACTTAAGTTTTCAGGATCGAATATAAGGATCCAACGGGTTATGAAAGTTGAGATCTTTGCATATTAAGTAACCCAACAGTTCATGCATTTGCTGTCTATAACTTATGCCGATAAAACTTCTTTTATCATAATTTTAATTTTAGTTTTAGTTTGTGTGGTTGGTTTGAAATATTGTTTATATTATATTTTTTTAAAAAAATTTATCTGTTTTACATTGATTTTATGATCAGAACAAATTTTTTAATTAAAAATATTTTAAAACAGCATTTTCAAATGCACCCTAAATATGTTAAAATTTACTTTAAAACTTAATGAAAAATACTCGTAAAATATTTTCCTCTTCACTTGATATGCTACTACTCAATACTTCATTTTCCTCTCAACTCAAATCACTTCTTTTACCCATTTAATCCACATATATAGTGTTTACCATCCATGCTGCCTCAGTCACTTCTTGGTCTGTCATCTATCATGCATGTATACATAGGGGAAGTCGTCACCAAGAAGGATAGACCTAGAGGGATAGATAAGGGTGGTTGTCTTCATAAAAATTTTAATATTTTAGATATTTTTTATTTAAAATATATTTTTGTCATTCTAAAATTTTATAATTTTTTTATTAATTAAAATTTATAAATTTATTTTTTAACATAAAATCATGTGTCCGTCCTAAACATGAACTAAGTAACTCCCTAAAATCGTTTGCATCATACAATGATATTTTTCAATTTTTTAATAAAAAAATTAGATAAACTTGTTGACATGAGATAACGATTTCACATTTATTATTACAGGAGACTACAATTTACTAATTAGTTATTATTACAGTATCAATCTCATATTTTTAAATAATTCAGATAACCATAGTTTTAATTTTTTAAATAATATTATTTCTTTAATTAAAGATTAAAATAGTGAGTGTTTTTTCAAGAAGTGAACACTAATTTCTAATATAGTCTCAAAATAGTTAAAAGGAATTTTTCTAAAATAATTTTACGTTAATTTGAAAAATTAAAACAAAACTTTAAAATTTTAATATCAACTTTTAAGATTATATATTTATGGATGAATTGAGGCATTACGCATCTAAATTTATTCTTAATTATTTAATATTTCAAATATTAAATTTTATACTATAATTTTCCCATTTCCAATGCTTTCATTTCTTAAACCATTTGTGTGTTCCACTGCAATTTACAAAATGAAAATAAAGAGGACTGATCAACAACTTTCCTTTACATTAGCCATTGGCCACTTCGATGTCTGGAACCTGCAGTCATATTTCTTCTTAATCTTAAACCAGAAGACGATAATCTTGTTCATCAGTTGGAGTTTCATGGAAGAAATAAGGAGTGCAAAACATGCCTCCCCACAGTGGAAAATAGATTAAGGTGATCGGAAGTGAACAAACAATCATCATAAGTCCCATTATCACTCCCAGTGAGCAAACAACAGCCTCTGTGTCACAACTTCTCCCAATTTGCCTCCACTTCCTGTCATCCCTGATATCACTCCCAGTGACCTGCTAAGTCGAATTTGAGTTTGATTTTTCTATCGTATTAATTGTATTAAGAGATGGATATAAAATTTTATAATAAAAATGAATTTATAAAATCTTAGAAAATTAGATTAAATTATTAATACAATATATGAAAGGTTGAAATTTTTTAAATTTTAAGGTAACCATTCTCGCCAACCTCTTATTCATCTCTGATCGTACCTTTTGGAAACGAAAGGAACAATGCCAAATATATAGTAAAAATACTGAGCAATGATATTATCCATTGTCATCTCCACCCCAAAAGTGAAAGCGTATATTAAGCCTAGTATCCACCTTCTATGGTTCATCAATCCATTAAAAATAACTTCCAGAAAACTCTCATTTGGCTTGTTGGAAACCTTTTTCAAATTCTCATGGTTCTCACGTGGGAGTTCTTGGCTGTAAACTAAGACCAGTACCGCTGTTATAGCTTGGAAAGTCGCCGGGAAGACGAAAACGACCCTCCATGCGGTGTTTTCCGGTACGTTAAAGGATTTCACGAGGGAAAACAAGAGGGGCATGATTAACTGAGCGATACCGGCTCCCATGCTAGCCCAACCGACAGAGAAACCGTTAGCGACGCCGACGAGGGAGGTGGGGAATATTGAGCTTATCCAAAACTGGTTGGCCACGAAGTTGAAACCTACGAGGAACCGTACCAGGATGAAAGAAGATGGTGATGAAATGAAAGCGGTGGCTAAAACTATTGGAGCAATGAGGATGGAGAGAGTGGCGGAGGCGATACGTGGACCGATTGCTAAAAGTCAGCACCGAAAATGGTGCATTAATGCACAATTCGGTGCAATGGTCAAAAGGAGTACACAATTGTTGAAATTTGCTAAATGGTATAATTAAAATTTAGTCATTGTAATTTAGGGTATTTACAAATTAGTCCTTAAGCTTCAACTATAAATACCCTAGCTCATTTAGCTTCAAAATCATCCCAAATCATTATAGCTTTCTCCCAATACTAGAGAATTTAGAGAGTTTCTTAAGAGTTATTTTCTCCTTTTTATCAAGAGAAAATTATCATTGTTTTCTCCTTGGTAGATCGAGAGAAGTTGTAATTCCTATTTTCTCATAGTGAAATTCTTATACCGTTGCCCGTGGTTTTTACCCTATATTATTTAGGGGTTTTCCACGTAAATTTTGTGTATCTTTTATCTTCATTTTTATTTTCTCAAATTATCAGTTGCAATTTTGCTCTATCCGATAGCCGTCTTCCGCAACAATTGATATCAGAGTCAGATTAGAGTGTGTAATATCTATTTATTGTCTTTGTGGTTGCCACCAAAAGGTGGATCCTCCAACATAAGAAAGTAAGAAGGTATTACCCATTCTTTGAAGGTTACAGAGAACTATTCACGATAGTGAAATAGTGATAGCTATCTGTAATAGAACTATGACAACGAAATTTGATATTGAAAAATTCAATGGGAGAAATTTCTCATTGTGGAAATTGAAGATGAATGTAATCTTGAGGAAAGACAGTTGTCTAGCAGGTATCAGTGAAAGGCCGATGGATTTCACAGATGACAACAAATGGATCGAAATGGACGGGAATGCTATGACAAACTTTCATCTAGCATTAGCAGATGAAGTATTGTCAAGCATCGAGGAAAAGAAGACATCTAAGGAGATATGGATCATCTAACCAAACTGTACGAGGCCACATCGCTGCACAATAAAATTTTCCTTAAGAGAAAATTGTACACTCTCCGTATGCCAGAATCTACTTCAGTAACAGAGCACTTAAATACACTGAACACTTTATTTTCTCAGCTTACTTCCTTAAGCTGTAAAATAGGAGAACAAGAACGTGCTGAACTTCTACTTCAAAGTCTACCGAATTCGTATGATCAACTCATCATCAACTTGACAAACAGTAATGTCATCAGTCTAGTCTTCGATGACGTTGCAACTGTTGTTCTACAAGAAGAAAACGGCGCAAGAACAAGGAAGACAAACAAGTAAATCTGCAACAAGCAGAAGCATTGACAACGATGAAAGGGAGATCAACAAAACGTCATCAAAGTAGCAGTCACAAACATGGTAGATCGAAGTCGAGAAGAAAGAAGAATTTAAAGTGCTATAATTGTTGAAAGAATGGTCACTTGAAGAAGGATTGTTGGAGTCTAAATAAAAACTCCAATCCACAAGGCAATACAACAAAGACTTCAGATGATGGAGATGCTCTATGCTGTGAAGCGTCAATAACCGTGGAAGGAAGAAAACGATTTACAGATATATGACTCATTGATTCGGGAGAAACATATCACATGACCTCAAGAAGAGAATGATTTCATCATTATGAGCTTGTCTCAGGAGGATCTGTGTATAGTTGCAATGATCATGCCTTAGAGATCATTGGCATTAGAACCATCAAATTAAAGATGTATGATGGAACAATTAAAGTTGTTCGAGATGTACAGCACGTGAAAGACCTGAAGAAAAATTTATTATCATACGGATTGTTGAATAATAATGCAAGCAAGATTGAAACACGAAAAGGAATCATGAAGGTGTTCTGTGGAGCGCTTGTGGTGCTGAAAGGTGAAAAGATAGCAATAAACTTGTACATGCTGAAGGGAGAGACTTTACTAGAAGCAGAAGCCTCTGTTGCCTCATATAATTCAGATTCTGCAATGCTATGGCATCAGAAACTTGGACACATATCAGAACAAGGAATGAAAGTCCTTGTGGAGCAAAAGCTACTTCCAGGCTTAACAAATGTATCACTTACTTTGTGTGAGCATTGCATAACAAGTAAGCAGAAATGGTTGAAATTCAACACGTCAAATTCTAGAGGTAAAAGTGTTTTAGAATTGGTTCATTCTGACGTATGGCAAGCACCAGTTACATCCCTACGTGGAGCAAAATACTTTGTCTCATTTATTGATGACTACTATAGGAGATGTTAGGTGTACCCTATTAAGAAGAAGTCAGATGTGCTTTCAACTTTCAAAAACTTTAAAGCGTGGGTGGAACTTGATTTTGGAAATAAGATCAAGTGTTTCAGAACAGATAATGGAAGAGAATACACAAGCGAAGAATTTGATGACTTTTGCAGGAAATAAGGCATCAAAAGACAGTTCACAATGGCGAACACTCCTCAACAAAATGGAGTGGCATAGCTGATGAGCAAAACCTTGTTAGAAAAAACAAGAGCAATGTTAAGGGATGCAGACCTAGAAAAATTATTCTGGGCAGAAGCAGTCAATATCGCCTGTTATTTAGTGAATCGAATCAACTGCAATAGAGCTGAAGACACCAATGGAGATGTGGACTGGTAAACCATCTGATTATTCAAACCTCCATGTATTTGGAAGTATTGTGTACGTGATGTACAACTCCCAAGAAATTTCAAAGTTGGATCCAAAATCCAGGAAATACAAATTCTTGGGGTATGCTGATGGTGTAAAGGGGTATCACTTGTGGGATCCCACTGCCCGCAAAGTGATCATTAGCAGGGATGTTATTTTTGTAGAAGATAAAATACAAAGAAAAGAAGATGATGATAGCACTGAAAAGTCAAAGACTACAAGATACATGTGGAAAAAGGAGGTTGAATAAAGAGATTCTTATGAAGCAGAACCAACACATGATGAATAAGAACTAGAGAGTTCTGAAGCTCCAACAACTCGTCAATCAGATCGTGTGAGAAGACATCCCAATTGGAACTCAGATTATGTTATAGAAGAAAATATTGCATACTGCCTTTTAACATACCAGGAGGCAATTAACAGCTCAGATGTTTCACTGTGGATGATGGAGATGCAAGAAGAAATTGAAGCCATTCATAAAAATAATACATGGGACCTTGTGCCACTACCACAAGGAAGAAAGCCAATTGGTAACAAATGGGTCTTCAAAATCAAGCGAAATGGTGACAACCAAGTGGAGAGGTATCGTGCAAGATTGGTGGTCAAAGGATATGCTCAAAAAGAAGGTATTGATTTCAATGAAATATTTTCTCCCATGGTTCGACTAACAACAGTCCGAGTAGTATTGGCAATGTGTTCTACATTAAATTTACATCTAGAGCAACTAGATGTTAAAATAGCTTTTCTTCATGGAAATCTTGAATAAGAAATTTACATGCTCCTGCCTGAAGGTTTTGAAGAAAAAGAAAAAATAACTTGGTCTGCAGGTTGAACAAATCTCTATGCGGTCTAAAGCAGGCACCGAGGTGTTGGTATAAGATATTTGATTCCTTCATTATGTGCCTTGGATACAACAGACTTAATACAGACCCTTGTGCTTATTTCAAGAGGTTTGGTGATAACGATTTTGTTATATTGTTGTTGTATGTGGATGACATGTTGGTTGCAGGACCCAACAAAGATCATATTGAAAAATTGAAGGCACAACTGGCTAGGGAATTTGAAATGAAGGATTTGGGATCAACAAACAAGATTCTAGGGATGCAAATTCACCGAGACAGAAGTAATAGGAAGATTTGGCTTCACAAAAGAATTACTTGAAGAAGATCTTGTCAAGATTCAACATGCAAGATTGTAAGCCAATTTCTACCCCTCTTCCTATTAACTTCATAATATCCTCCAGTATGAGTCCTAGCAGTGAAGAAGAGAGGATGGAGATGTCTCGAGTACCATATGCATCGACAGTGGGAAGTTTAATGTTCGCTATGATATGTACAAGACTAGACATTGCACAAGCAGTGAGAGTGGTTATTCGGTATATGGCGAATCCAGGCAAAGAGCATTGAAATACATTAAAGAGGATCATGAGATACATCAAAGGGACCTCAAATGTTGCATTATGTTACAGAATATCAAATTTACTTATTAATGAGTATGTTGATTCTGACTATGCAAGGATTTGGATAAAAACAAATCTACTATAGGATATGTTCAAAGTTGCTGGTGGAGCTATAAGCTGAGTTTCAAAATTACAGTCAGTTGTGGCTACATCCACAATAGAAGCAGAATATGTAGCAGCTACACAAGCCAATAAAGAAGCAATTTGGTTGAAGATGCTATTGGAGAAGCTTGGGCATAATCAAGAGTATGTCTCTTTGTTTTGTGACAGTCAAAGCTCCTTGCATCTAGCAAGGAATCCAACATTTCATTCAAGGAAAAAACACATACGAGTTCAATACTATTTGATTCGTGAAAAGGTGGAAGAATGGACAATAGATATGCAGAAAATCCATACCAAAGATAACATAACAGATTTCATGAAAAAGGCAATCAATGTTGATAAATTTACTTGGTGTCGATCCTCTTGTGGCCTGTCAGGAACGTAAGCAACATGATGGTACAAGGTAGAAAGAATGGTGTGAAGATATGATTATTCCAATCAAATCTTCAAGTGGGAGATTGCTAAAAAGTCAGCACCGAAAACGGTGCATTAATGCACAATTCGGTGCAATGGTCAAAAGGAGTACACAATTGTTGAAATTTGCTAAATGGTATAATCAAAATTTAGTCATTGTAATTTAGGGTATTTACAAAATAGTCTTAAGCTTAAACTATAAATACCCTAACTCATTTAGCTTCAAAACCATCCTAAATCATTCTAGCTTTCTCCCAATATCAGAGAATTTAGAGAGTTTCTTGAGAGTTGTTTTCTCCTTTTTATCAAGAGAGAATTATCATTGTTTTCTCCTTGGTAGATCGAGAGAAGTTGTAATTCCTATTTTCTCATAGTGAAATTCTTCTACTGTTGCCCGTGGTTTTTACCCTATATTATTTAGGGGTTTTCACGTAAAATTTGTGTCTCTTTTATCTTCATTTTTATTTTCTCAAATTATCAGTTGCGATTTTACTCTATCCGATAGTCGTCTTCCGCAACACCGACGAGGTCACAGACGGGTCCCATGGCTAGGAGGAAGAAGATGGAGCTGACAAAAGTGGCTTTACCGGCAGCGCCGACGTCGACAGCTAAGAGGTTGAGGTTTTGACGAATTATTGGAATAAGGGGAGGAATTGAAAAGGTGGAAAAGAAACAAGAGAACAAGGATAGCCATGCGACGTGGAAGGCAAGCATGTGAGGTGGTGAAGTGGAAAAAGGGTGAAATTCAGTGGCTCTGTTGTTTCTTGGAGAAGAAAGTTCCATTGAAGGAGCTTATGGTGCATCCTGAGTTCGATATCAACTCCTCAAAATCATACAATTTTTAACGTTGGAGAAAGGAAATTGGGATCATCACTGAATTTAAATTTATAGATGTTTTAGTATTATGGTGCTAATTCGGATTCTCTTGCCTAAATGGCAATGGAATAAGTTTATCAACTCATTGTATTTTTTATCCGTTATGTTAACACAAACAGATCATTGTAATTCTTATCCGTTATATACACGCATTGAAATCGTTTTCCTTTTAAATATAATTTAGTTCTCAACCCATCAAGTATTCTAAATAATTAAAAGAGGTATTATTTTTCTTAAAGATCGTAAGTTCCAATAACAACCTCTACAAGACGTATATTCATTATGATTAATTAAAAAAATTATAAATAGATAATCTTAGACTATTAAAAAAATTAATTCTTTCTTGTTCACAAACATGTTTGAATTTACAAAAGGAATTTTATTTGTTTAATTTTAAAATTTTGAAATATACCAAAATATTATTTATCATAAATCCAATCCTATTCGTGATGAAAGAAAATCTTTTATAATATACTAAACAATAATATACAATTTGAATATTATATATAAATACAGTACATATATTTTTATTTCTTTATTTCCAATACAATATGATCTAATATCATATGTGCCCCCAAAAAAAGATATATGTTTTTTCAAATTAATTTTGTATTTTCGTACGGTGGATATATATAAAGCTGGAAAACACATGTGGTGTGCATCATTTTCTGGCTAAAAGTAAAAGCCAGTGACAAAGTCTCTTTTGATTTCGGGGAAGCAGACAATACTGTTGAACGCAGTAATTCCTCGTTCGATTTCCCGTCTAAATGGGATGAATGAATGATTCAATGCATTTGTACTTACGATTTGGATATCTGATTAGGCTAGATTGAGAATTGTTGGAGTGTGGTTGTATTCTTAAAATTTTAAATTTTATATAATTTAAATAATTTTTTCTATGTTGTGGTGATAATTTAATTTTATATATTTTTTAAACTTAATAGTTTCATACTCTTAAATTTCTATGGTAATTTTAAGTAAAAACCCTCAACAATTAATTATTTGAAAAATAACCCCCCAAACAACATTATTTAAAAAATAACTCTTAAACTACCCACACAGGACTATCTCACGTTCTACAAAAAGTGTTTTAAAGATTTCGCATTTTGCAAAACGCGAAATCCATCAATATTTCAGATAAATTCATTTAATTTATGAATTAAAGAACACTATAAATACACGGAACTCACGTTTCATAAAACACGAGGTCATAATCGTTTTTTGCAAAACGCGACGATGTCATTTTTCTAAAAAAATTGATTGGAGATTATTTTTACAAATAATTAATTATTTGAGAATTTTTTAACATAATAACGTCAATTTCTAATAAAAATTCTTAACTTTACATCTTTAGTATAAGATCACATGTCAGTCTCTCCATTAAACTAGAAATTATTAATTTTAATTTTAAAAAACTATAAAACAATTAAAATATGAAAAAAATTATATAATAAAAATGGTTGATTATTGAATTTATAAATATTTGGATAAACTACACATTTAGTACATAAACTATCAGTTTTATTTATTTTTAGTACCTAAACTTTCATTTGTTTCGAAATCATACCTAACATATACTTTTTAGTTTCGTTAAAAACTTAGCAGAACTGTTACAAAATGTCATTTTTTATGGGTAAATTACATCGTTTATCACTCAACTATCTTCTCACTCCTATTTTGATCACTGAAGTTTAATATTTTAATCTAATTATTTAACTTTCAAATTACTCATAATTTAATCACTGTAAATTTCAAATTTAATTTTTTATTTTAATTATATATTAATAAAATAATAATAAAAAATGTCATGTCACAAAAATGATTAATAAAATAAATTAGAGTGATTAAAACATGAACAATTTGAAACTTGAGTAGTTAAATTGAAAAATTTTAAACTTTAGTAACCAAAATAGGAGTGAGAAGATAGTTAAGTTATAAATGATGTAATTTACCATAAAAATGTCACGTGCAATAGTTCTGTTAAGTTTTTAACGACGGTGAAACTAAAAGTAAATGTTATATATAATTTTGAAACAAATAAAAGTTTAAATACTAAAATAAAATAAAACTGATAATTTAGGTGGTATTAAACATGTAGTTTACCTTAAATAATTTTATAATTTATATTTATATAAAATCTTCAATTTATTTTGGTGTAAGCTAATCAGGTCACATCAATTTACCTGAAAATATAGTAAGAAGTATTTTATATACTATTAAGGGTTAAATGTATTTTTATACTAATTATTTTAATTGTCAATCATGACATTAAGCCATATATCAAGTGACTTTTTGAGGTGGAGTGATAAAAATATAATCTTATTAATAATTCAATGATTGTAAGTATAATTAGTAGCATGAATCCAATAAAATCTATTAACTGACTTGCTTCGATCGTAAGCCGTTTGGACCGTTATTGAATCGGAAGATTAATTATAAAATCAATCCAACAATAACCTGTTTGATGATAAAGAAATAATTTCTTTTGTTACAAAAACTAAAATAAAGAGAAATTAAGGTAAACCCTTTATAAATTGAGTAATATTTAGTGAGCTACAGTTGAAGTTTCCAAGAGGGGAAAGAAAACCTGAAGCAATCTTTTTGAAGAAGAGGGAAATGGCTTTGCGTAAGGCTAAGGAGATCGTTTCAACCAATCCCGTTGTCGTTTTCGGGTACACGTATTCTTACACGTACATCATTCATGGTTTCAGTTTACGAATTTGTCTTTTCATACGTATTGTTTTGTTGCAGCTCGACGAACTGTCCCTTCTGCGTGGAGATGAAGCAGTTGTTTAACCAAGTTGGAGCTTCTTACAAACTCATTGAGCTCGACAAAGAAAGTAGTTTTTCCTTTTCCTTTTTCCTTTTCTTGGGAAGGGGAGGGGGGGGGGGGAAAGAATATTCGAGGCACGGTTTTGTGATTCAATGGTTGAGATTTTGTTAGTATTATTAACTTGATCTGTTTGGTATCTTGGAAACGATCCTTTCCGGAAATCAAACTGTGATTTCAACGCTTTGTTTGGCTTCTGTTTGGTATCTTAATACTTTGAAAAGATAGCTACGGATCTGATTTGTAGTTGAAGTAAATGCTTTAAAACTGGATCAACGGCTTATGGCTTCCATTGTTACATTTTCAAGGTGATGGAGGTGAAATTCTTGCAGTTCTGGCCGAGTGGACTGGCGTGTGGATTCTGCCCAAAGTTTTCATCGGTGGAATATACATTGGTGGCAGTGACAGTATGCCCTTAAAATTCTTGTGCTATCATCTTTTATCTAAATATCAATGACAGTTCTACATATAAACCATGCTCATTATAATTGCCTGGTTTGTAAATCTGCAGCTACAACGGTTATGTATGCGAATGGGCAGCTGATTCCGTTGCTAATTGAAGCCGGAGCTTATGGTAAATCTTGAAATTCTGGTAAACAAATACCAACATCGGTTTTATGTAGATTCTGTTGTTTGGGATATTGATATACTGGATTGGAATTACGAGTTTAACTCCTAGTAGTGTCTATTGATTGATTGTTAAATGAAGTGATAATCACGTTTTAGTTTCAATCCTTTTACCTTATCGTCCTCTGGGATTCTTAAGCTCAGAGAACACTGCCTCTGAAATGAAAACTTCAGAATCTTTGGTAGCTGAAATGTGTTCATCAATAGGTGCGATGCTAAAGCAACTAAACCCTTCACAACTTTCATCTGCATCTACTTCTTTTCCATCCCATCCAAGTTCGATTTCCTTCTTGGCACTTTCTTGTAACTGCAGTGCAAACTCGAGTCCCCACACGACATCGTTCATTGATGGCCGTTTGATTCCCTCATCGTGCAAGCAACTTATTGCTACCTCGGCATATTTCTTCAAGCACTCCGGTGCGATCATTCCTTTCAAAAATGGATCGATTATCTGATAAAGATTTCCATTCCGGTAGCATTTTTGTGCCCACATTGCTAAGTTCACTTGGCTCTTTTCTGCTAACCGATTGATTGGTGGCCTAGCACACAAAACTTCACATAGCACGACCCCGAAAGAATATACATCGGATTTTTCGGTCAGTTGTTGTCGGCGGTAATACTCCGGATCCAAATACCCGAAACTGCCTTTCACCAATGTGCTAACATAGGCTTTGGAATTGGACATGCTGGTTGGACCAACTTTGGACAATCCGAAATCCGAAACCTTAGCTACCCATTTCTCATCCAACAAAATGTTGGTGGTCTTAACATCACGGTGAATGATTACATGCTTTGCCCCGCTATGGAGATATTGCAATCCACGAGCCGCACCGATGCAAATCTCGAGCCGTTGTCTCCATGGAAGATGAGGGTTTTCGGTGTCGTAAAGGTGATCGCGGAGTGTACCATGAGCCATGAAATCATACACAAGGATCATCTCATTATCATCGTTGCAATAGCCAATTAAAGAGACTAAATGGAGGTAACGGAGTTGGGAAAGCATCTCAATCTCCGTCCTGAACTCAAGGGCCCCTTGTTTGGACTCGGGATCTAACCTTTTGATTGCCACCGCCATTGCACCGCCGTTGATGAATCCTTTGTATACTTTGCCGAAACCTCCAACACCGATTATGAAAACAGTATCGAAATTGTTGGTGGCTGCTTTTATCTCAGCTATTGAAAAAAGGCGACAAATATCGGATGGTAGAGATGAGCTATTGTTAGACTTGTTGCTGGCCGAACCTCCACAAGTCGAGGTTACGTATTTGATCCTCATCCTGTGCTTCACAATGAAGAAACACAAGATAGATAGTAGAACAAATCCGGATACTCCAACACCGCCACCAATAATTGTCGTTTTGTTGTTCTCGTGCTTCCTCGGTCGACTCGATTGTGCAACGGTCGTAGGCGACTCATCGTCTCAGGGTCAGGGTTAAGACCGGCTAGATTTCCATCGTTGCTCAATTTGAAGATTTCGACCCCGTTGAGGATTGCATCTGAATAATGAGTCATCCACTTTGGGGCAGGGTGCAAAGCAATGGAGAGATTTTGTTTCTTTTCATTTCCTTTCAGTCCAATCGCCACCACATAGTCTTTATATGTCGGGACTCCTCTTCCTCCACTCCAGTTTATAACATCCATTTCGGTTTCCGCCGTTAAATTGGCTATGAAAATCTCAAACACTCTGTCACCTTGTCGTGTTATCTCAATCTGGAACTCACAAAAGTGTAACCTAACAAAATAATTAAATCCAGAATCAACAGGGAACTCCCAAGTCAAGTTGTAATGTTCATTAACAGTACTGTTTTTTCCCATCGTCCTAGCCGTTTTATAGACGACATCCGGTGCAGAAAACAAGTGCTTATCATCGCTGTAGTTGAGATTGATGCTGAGATTAACCGGAAGAACCGCGCTTGCAGCTTCTATCAGGTAATCGTCATCGGCCGACCAAAAACGGTACATGCCGGTGTCATCTACGGGAGAGATTTGCTTCCCACCAACGTTGATTCGATTCATCAGCTCAATAGCAGTGTTGTTTCCCATGGTGTACAAGCTTCCCTGTCTCTGACCTATAAACTCGATCCCTTCACTATCGGCCGGTTGATAATAAAGATTAGTCGGCATGGAAACAATTTCAATCCCGTTTACAAAAGCATATGAATCTGAAATGTCAGGACTTGGAATAAACCTTAAGTTTAACCCCTGCTGACCTTCATCAAGGTTGACACAGAATTCTTTGATAAGCGTTTCTTGACCTTGAGCATGAAGAATAGCACTGAAGTTCTTGAGAAGAGTAAAATCACCGGTTATAACGGAAAAGAACGTTTTCGAGATGTCGAAGCTCGGATACGAAGTCGGAAAGAAATACAAGCGAACAAACTTTTGGCCGGGTGTAAGGGGAATTACGTAGGCGAATTCAGACCGGGAAACCCGAGCCGTCGAGAAGGGGGCTTGACCAATACTATTGGGTGCTTTCAAAGACACTGAATTGTTGTTTTTTGATTCAACAAGCGACAACTTCGGGGTATTGTCTCCGGTCCAAACACGACCATCTAGAGCTATGTTGTTATCGGAAGAACCACAATCAATTGTTAAGCTTTCTATAGGGGTGTAACGAGGAGGGTACGCCGAAATGGTTGAAAGAAAGAGAATGAGGAGGATGGTCGAACTCTTCATTGTAGAAGAAAGAGAGGGAGATGTGCTAAAAGAAGTAGTAGGCTTATACCATTTCTCTGGTTCGACATGTATATATCTCTCTATAATTGTGGAATTTTGCTTTAAACGGCTTCAACATAATCCCAACCAAATTTGAAAAACAAGGAGTTATCAAAGTGGGGGTGTTAATGATGGATGTTCCACTTAGTTTCAATGGGAACTTGGAGCAGCTAGCAATAAGAATATGGTGAGGATAAATGTGAAGAATATGGAGTTTAAATTCCAAACCAACTTCAAAGCCTAAAAACTTTCCACCATCTAATAATTCTCTCTTCTTTATATATATTTCAAAAAAGGAATAATAACAGTAATTCCATTTATCTCTTTCACATCTCACGCGCGCGGAAATATGATTACATGTGGGCTTGAGCCTAACGCACTTTCGGATTGTCTTAGGAAAGACATATTAATATATAGTTAATATACAGTTAATATATAATTAATATACAGTATTATTAGATACATTAAAAGATATTTAATAAATTCGGTTTAGCGCTATCGAAAATGTTGAGTAATAATAATTTAGTAGGTCTAAGTCATGAAGAAATATTAAAAAATTTGGCAACCGACAAACTTAACTTGTCGATTTGTGTCGATCCAAATTAAAAATGTATTATCCATATCAATATAACAGGTAAAAATATGATAAAACCGGTCACGAAAAGACTATCGATAAAACACTACCGGATATATTGAACGTGTCGATACTTTAATATAAGGATCGACACTTTGTGAATTTAAAAGAGAAATAGTTTTAACACCTATAAAGTGTCGATACTTTGTAAAAATGTATTAATCCACAAAGATATAACATGTAAAAATATGACAAAACCGATATCAAAATGATAAAACCGGTAAAGCGCTACCGGATATATTTAAAGTGTCGGTACTTTAATATAAGTATAGACACTTTGTGAATTTAAAAGAGAAGCACTTTTAGCGCCTATAAAGTGTCGATACTTTATAAAAATGTATCGATCCACAACGATATAACATGTAAAAATATGATAAAACCAGTAAAGTGCTATCGGATATATTGAAAGTGTCGATACTTTAATAAGTAAATATAATAAATTATCGATACTTTCAAAGAAATATGTAATTATCCTTTCGAAAGTATCGACACCTGACATGAAAATATCGACACTTTGGCAATTGTATCGATTAAATATAAATAATATATCTGATGAAAATATAAAGGCCATAGCTAAATATCCTCTGAAAATAGATAGAACGGACGAGTTTTTGAAATCGAAGTGTAATTGTTGCTGCATATCAGAAGGCGTTTCTAAAGCGAAGTTTGTTTGTTTGTTGCTGCAGTCGAATCGAAAAGTATGTTGTCGAAACCCTAGTTTTTAATTATTACAGTAATAGGAAATAGGTTTTTATATGTTGTTTGGGGTTTTGGAGTAAAGAAGTATTTGAGACTGATTACAGGTAGAAAGTGATATTCAAGGTAAAATATAAATGTCGATACTTTTATTAAACATTATAGGTAAAAAATGATATTATAGGTTGTATAAATGTGCCGACACATTTTGTAGTGGCCATTTAAATTCTTTTGAAGAAAACCGTTTTACCACAAGAGTAGTTATCTATATTTGTATATTGAATAAAGTGTATGTAACAAGTATTTGATTTGATTTGCGTAAACTAATATATGAAGGAAAAATGAGTCAATGGGTGGAAAAATTATTGGTGGCGCAGATGACTTTGAAATTGAGGCCGAGACTCGAAAGCAACCAAAGGGTGGATATATGTACTTCTAATAAGTATCAATGTCTTTTTGTTATTATTGTTGAAATGGTAATTGGATTAAAATATTTAAGAACTTTAAATTGATTACAAATTTTAAATGTTGACAGTATGGCCGAATGCAAAAGGATGAAGAAGATGGCACACAGAGCGGTTCAGTATGTAAAATGAAATTGACATTGAGTATTATTTAGTGTTAATGTATTGATTAAGAAACGTTTATGGTTAATATTAGGTGACAAAAGATGTGAGGTCCAAATGGAATTCGATGAGTGATGCTGGAAAGGAACCTTACATCATACAGTCAAGGAATGATAGTAAAGAATACAAATAACGGAGGAAAGCACATGAAAATAAGGTATTCATTAAACTTGTAAATACGTTGATACAAAATATATAAGAACTATAACATTATATATTGTTAAAAAATGTAGGAAGTGTCGACAAGGTGCAACATTAAAAGGGTGAATTCATTAATTAAACACTTTAAGGAGAATGGTCAGTTGAATGTGCTGGG